GATCCGTCATACATTAAAATTTTATACATATACTAACATCTATTACTGTGTTTTCTCTTCTGTTCCACTGATTTATTTGCTGTATCATTAATATTATATTTATTTGAAAATGGTGACTTAATAGTATAGTCTCATAACTGGTTAAGTCTTTTTTCTCTCCACTTTTCTTACTTTTTAAATATATATTAAGAGGCAGTTATTCTTCAATTTGGATTTTATGATCACTTATTTACCTATAATCCAAAGGCTGTGATAAATACCTAATAAAGCTTTACTCCTCCAGTCTTTATACTTTTCTTCCACATAAACTTTAAGATACTTTATCCGATTCCCAGTAGAGATTCTAATTGGAATTGCATTATATTTATATACTAACTTTTAGACAATTGACACTTTTAGTGATATTACATCTTTTTAATATTATAATAATTCTCATTCAAGAATATGGTATATTTTTTCATTTTTTTAAATGTTGTGCTTTATGTTCTTTAATATAATTTTATAATTTCATTTAAACATTTCATTGCTATTCTTGTTAAATTTATGACCATCGTTTTGCATCTACTGTGAATAGACTATTTTCTCTATTTCAATTTTTTGGTACTTGTTGATAGGATAGAGAAAAGCTATTGATTTTTGTTTATTTGTCTTATAGTCATCAACCTTACAAAATTCTCATATTAATTCTAGTAGTTTTTTTATTAGTATATCTTGGATTTTCTAGTTATAAAATTATATCACCAAAACCCATACTTCATACCTGCCAAAAAGAGTTTGTTTATTCTTTTCCAATGTTTTTATGTGTTATTTTCTTGTCTTACTCATATCTTATTAAATTCATATGAACCTCTGAGACTATGTTAAATAATAATGGTGACAGCATTCATGTCTACTTCCTGATTTTAATTGAAATAATTTCATGTTTTGCTACTTGGAATTTTTTTGATGTTTGGTTTTTAGTAAGTATTTCTTATTTTTAATTAAATATTTTCCTCCTCTTAATTCTACTTAGATGTTTAATTGGAAATGCTTTCAGATTTTGTTTAATGCCTTTTCAGCATCTATTGATATAATAGCATGTTTTGTTTTGTTTTGTTTTTCCTTTTAACCAACTGGTAAAACAAATTAGTATTGCTAAATTTCCTGATATTAAAGTACCTTTGCTTTTATGGAATAAACCCTACATCATTTACTTTTTAAATATTACTTTCTACATGGTTATATTTTATTTGTAAGTTTGGTACATATATTCATAAGTGAGACTGGTCTATAAATTTTTCTTTATCGGAGCACTAATTTTACCAGAATTTTGTGTTAAAATTAAGTGGACTTCATTAATAAATATGTTTAATAACATTGTATTGTCTATTTTTAAAAGTTAGATTAAACTTGACTAAACCCAGTATCATTAGGTAAAATTCAGTTATGAACTCATCCAATTCCAGTGCCCTTTTCAATGGTAGTTAATATTTCCATAGTTTTCTGTGGTAATTTGACTATTTAAATTTTCAGTTCTTCTCAGATTAGTTTTGATTATTTATAATTTGATAAGAAATCATCTATTTCTGTCCAAGATTTCAAATTTATGCCCTTAATATAGAATATATTACTCTTATTTTTATAATAGCTCCTCTATCTGTGGTTTTACCTGATTTCCAAATTTTAGTCTTGTCTATTTTTGTTTTATGTTTTATTATCTATCAGGCTTGCAAGGCTTTTATTTTTTGGTCTTTTCAAAGAACTAGCTCTATTTTTTATGTTTTCTACTACTTTTATTATCCATAACATTAGTTTTTACTTTTATTTATTAGTTTCCTCTTCCTGTTTTTTGGGGGATTTTTGTTTGTATTTTTCAGACTTCTGAAGAGATACTTAATTCTTTTATTTCTCATCTGTTTTGTTTAATAATAGAGGCATTTAAAGGTATAAATTTTCCTATGAGTTAACTTTATTTATGTCTTATAGGTTTTAATATGAATTATTCTCCTTTTCAAAGCTGTCTAAACACTCTAATTTTTCTTTATCCCCTTTTGGTCAAAGAGTTATTTAGCGGTATGTTTCTTATTTTCTAGATAATTGTTTTGGTAGGGAGTTACTTTTTTTTGTTTTGTTTTATTTTACTTTGGGGTGTTCTAATTAAATAATGTGACATAATTTCTTAATTGAATTTCTTAAGCTTTTTTTATGTTGAGTAAATGATCAAGTTTTATAAATATTCCTTAGCAATATGAAATAAAATATAATTCTCAACTTGATGGATGTAATGGTATCTCAGCTAGGTGGAAGATTCTTGGGTTCTTTTCTCTCAGTAGACTATAGATGCTAATGCTTTGACTTCAAGATTTCAGTGTTATAAAAATGAAGTCTACTGCAGCTCAGATTTTTTTTCTTTTAAAGGTAATTCTTTTTTTCCCCCTTTGAACTGGGAAGCTTATTTGCCTTCTCTATCTCTTGTTTTTTTCTCTTTTTTGTCACTCATAATCCTTGGTTCATAAAATATATGCATTGGCTAGGACTTCATATACAATGTTGAATAGAACAGTGATAGTGGCATGCTTGTCTCATTCAAAGTTTTACAAAAACACACTGCTAAATAAATTTTGGATTCAAGCAGAAATGATAATACATGTAAATATTTAGAATTAAATGATATTAAAAACACCATATATCAAAATTTGTGGAATGCAGCCAAAGTCATGCTTTGAGGGAGATGTATAGCCTTAAATACTTAAGAAGGAAAGAATAAATTCAAAGAACATAGAAGAAAAATAAAATGAAAATAAGAACACTAGTCAGTGACATAGAAACCAATGATACAATAAAGATCAACAAAATAAAACATTGATTTTTTTTAAATCAACGAAATAGACAAACTTCTGGTAAGTTTGATCAGAAGACGAGAGAAGACACAAATGAAAATTATAAGAAAATAAAGAAGAGTAGTAACTACAGATAAAGAGTAAAAAAAAATGTTGATGCTGTCAACAACCTTACACCAACAACTTTGAAATCTTAGATGAAATGGACATATTATTAGAAAAATATGTCTTATCAAGATTTACAGAAAAAAATAAATGGTCCTATAACTATTAAAGAAATTGAAACAATGTCTTCTCACAAAGAAAAGATCAGACTGTTTTATAAGCAAGTTTACCAACTTTCAAAGTAAAGAGGATCCTAATTTTTATACAATACTTTCCAAACAATCAAAAATTGAGGAATATTTCCCAACTTATTCTACAATGCCAAAGTAAATCAAAGTATTAAAATACAGGGAATATTATAGGCCTGTTTATAGTATTAATATCGATGTAACAATTTTCAACTGTATATTTCATATTTTTAAAAATACTTTGATCCATTCAAATGTATTATTCTTTTTTTATTTTAATTTTTTAAGTTACAGTTGGCATTCCATATTATATTAGTTTCAGGTGTATGGCACAGTGGTTAGACATTTATAAAGTTTATGAAGTGATCCCCCCGATAAATCTAGTACTTACCTGGCACCGAATGTAGTTATTATAATATTATCGACTACATTTTCTATGCTTTACTTTACATCCCTGTGACTATTTTGTAAGTGCCAATTTGTATTATTCTTAATCCCTTCACCTTTTCACCCAGCTGCCCTACCCCCACCCATCTGGCAACTATCAGTTTGTTCTCTATATCTATGAGTCTGTTTCTGTTTGTT